CATAATCCACCCATGCATTTAGTAACTTAGGCCTACAGACAGGTAGCTGTCTTGTACAGAGACAAATTTACCCCAGACTTCCTTCAACAATATGTCACTTTCAAGATTTCTTGCTGACAGAGAAAAAGACAGCCCCATATCAACGCTTCTTCTGCAGCTGTTTGACACGTCTCTGTTGCTCACTGTGTGTATTGCTCAAACATGACCACATTAAACTAACTGGAACTACGTTTGTGTAAAACACTCATACGTGACAAATATGACTAATATTGAAAACGTTTTGAATCATGAGCATATTCAAAAAATGAGGCTTAAATACTGCTGTTGCTGTTATATCGCCAACAAGTCAAACAGAATAACTTATTTAGCTATGTTTATTAGCATACTTATTAGCATGTTAGGCTAGCTATTTGTTCAACAGATGAAACAGACGGTTGGTAAACCAAAACAAGCACATTTATATTTCCTCGATCAAACTTGGTAACAGCAGTCAAGCGTCAGTCCAGGTTCATTCATTTACAACAGAAAATATCTGCAATATTAGCATTTAGTAGCCTAGCCTACATCAGTGTAGTTTGGGCGTTCGGGAAGTCTCAACGATAAAATACACAAAAACAACATGGGAGTAAAAACAGTGTGAAATTCTGACGTCTACCATGAATAAGTCCTTTTGACAGTGACAGCAGGTCGTAAGAAGAGGTCCAGATGTGAAAAGTCGCTGTTTGAAGTATATTTTTCCACAGAAATCGTCGAGTGAAAGTTGAGCTGCTGCTTTTCTCGCCGTTAGTAAGTTAGTTATGGTTCTAATCTTAGAATCATATCAAAATGATGCACCTGGAGACACCATGGCAACCATGGAACCAATCAGCTCCGTTTTTACAATACGTCTTACCTCAGAGTTCTCAGGAAGTCCACATCAACCAGTCCTCAGGGACAATGTTTCTTAGTTGTGGCATTTTAATTAAATAGTCCTACGTGCTACGGCTGTATTGTGATTATGATGCTGAATTGTTTTTGCTTTTAATAAGGGACTGTTCGTTACTTATGAGGGGGGAGGTGTCGGTGCAAAAATGGAGAGGCATGTCAAATCATTTTAAACAATGTAGAGGGAATTATGTTTTTTATTTTTGCTTCAGTGAGAGGCATACACATTTGAATGTTGTATTTTTTATTTTATTTTTTTTATTTTTTACTGCTGATATTTAAAGAAAACGTTTCCAGAGGTCCTTGAACACATCAAGTCTAACTATGTCAAAAAAAAAAAAAAAAACCATTTTTCATCAAAGTCACTTTATTCTACAGCTCATTTAATATTTGGCTAAAAATATACTTGTTTCAGGCTCATGCTTTTTTGACTTTTCACTTAACTTTCAAACATCAAAGGGTAAGTTTTAAAAACTTAATATTAAGTGTGCTGTTACAGCTGCCACTATATAGGCTACTGTTAAAGTTGCCCCTGCATGTGGGGGCGGATGTTACTTTGAATTATGACTCTTGTGCTACAGAACATCATTGTAATAATCCTTATAATATCTCTGCATTGTGCTAATGGCTCAGTGATGTTTCCCCATCCCATAGTTCTTCCTTTGTTCTGTTGCTGGCTGGATGACTGTGCCATTGGCATCTGAAGTCCTGCTGTCTACTTCCCCACACTGCTGTTCTGTTTGGGCTTATCTTTCTGTGCAACGCCGTAGGGCACATGGGCAGCAGTGGTGCCCATCTCAGCTGCTCCCTTCATGTGAAACATCCGATTGTCAAAGTAGATTTGAGGCCTGATCTTCTCCAGCATGACGTCTTTTGGCCCCTTTCCTGCTGGAAACACAGCAATTGGTCACTAAAAAACAACCACCAAACAACACAAACACAGGAAAAAAAGGGGTCCCTTAAAGAAATGAAATGCCATCGTCTGTGTTGTCAGTGTTAGTTGTGTTGAGAGCTATTAATATACAGTGTGTGGTTGGGATTGTGGGTGCAAATGAAATGCTGAGCCAATAATGGCACATGTGCTGTTATTTTGATCATCTGAAGCCATTCAGCACTTTTTATATTTAATAAATGCTTGAGAATGTTGGTTGTGTTTCACTCTGAGCATGCCAGATTTGTGATTGCTGTCATTTTCACATTTGGTTGGATGCACTGTAACTCTACATAGGTGACCTTGTGAATAAAATGTTTTCTGCTCATATTTTGCTGTTGCAGGGTTTCAGAAGGGAATACTGAGTGACAGAATATCAGCATAAACAAGGACACGATAAAGCATTGGTACAAAAGTTCCTCCATGAACCCGAAAACAAACTTTCTTAGTCTAAGAGATTTGCATTATAAAAACTAATATCCTCCAGAGGAATGCATTGTGGGCTTTAGAATGATTGAAAAAACATACTGTGTCTCTGGTGAGCCTTTCTGTTTCAAAATCAACCTTTTTCAAATTTGTCCTTTAGATTTTTACTTTCCAAACCATAGTCCCACCCTCAAAAGTTTATTTTATGGGGTAAATGGCTGAAAATCAGATCCTCAAATCTACCAACACATCTCTTTTAATATTTTGGTTATCAAATTAGCTGAGTATGTTCAATGAGGCTTTCAAAACAGACAAATGAAAGATCAGTTAAACTCAGGATCATCTCCCACACTTGTTCCCCAAGTGTGACGTTGCAGAATTCTAAAACCACACCAGCCAGCAGATGTTTAGAACTGGTACATTTTCGGTATATTTCAAATTTAGACTTTACTGGAGGCATTATATGCAATAAGCAAACAAGAGAAGTCTCATAACAGCTGCAAAAACAAGAGGTTGTAAACGGGATTATTTTGTCATTGAATAAGACTTCAAATTCTGTCTGATACATATAGAGATGCGTGAATAATATTTACACACATTATCATACTCTTTTTACACTTTATTCATTTATGTCAACATGTTGACATAGAGGTATATTTATAGACCTTAAGTCTACATATTATGATACCAATACGATCTTGACAAGTAAAAGAAAAGCGAGTCAGAATTAGCAAAATCCCTCTGAACCTGGATCACAGGAAAGGAGATTAGGGAATCTTTGTAGTTCTAATCCCGAAGAAAAGTTTTGAAAACGGCATACTAAAAATGGCGTTGATTCATTTTCCGATGTACAATTTATTTTGTATTTGTTGGTTTGTACATGAAATGCAAAAATAACATGAAGAGAGAGAGGTTGTCTTGAATTTATTATTACTAATGTCAATACCAGTATTTAACCAGCAGATGTCGCCACCACACAACCACACTAAGCTACATCTTCCTCAGTATCTCCAGGGGTCTTTCATGGGGCTCCAGGTCCCATGCAGGGAAACAAGCAGTCATGGGTGGATTGTTGAACAGGTCTACTGGGCACAGGGCCAGGGGCCCAACGTGTCAGGCGGCCCCTTGGCCTTCACTTGCAAAATATCAAATGTCAAATTAACTCAATTAACATATGTACTGACCAGGAAGAGAATCAAAATGATCACAGACACAAAAAGACCACAAAGAGATACAAAGGTACGGCACAGTGACAGAACATAACTATAATAAAAGGGCAAAACAACCATAAGAGACACAACATGACTATAAAGCAACACAAAATAACCAGAAAAGACAAAATGACCCCAGTAAAACACAAATTATATAAAAGAGACCTAAATGATTACAAAAAAAGATATGAAGCAACCTCTAAGAGACACAAAATGACTACAGTGAGACACAAAATGACAAAAAGACACTAAATTACATCAAAAAACACAAAGAAAATAATGACACAAAGAAAATAATGACAAAAAGACATTAAACAAACACAAACACACAAAATGACTACAGTGAGACACAAAACCACTAAAAAACCAACACATAATTACATCTAAGAGACCCAAATAACTACAAAAAACAGAAAGCAACCACAAGGAGACACAAATTTCCTCAGTAAGACACAGAATTATCTTAAGACACAAAATTACATCAAAAAGACCCAAACGACCACAAAAACACATTAAACAACCAGGAAACACCAAATGTCTCCAGTGAGTCACACAAATAAACAAAAAACAGAAATCACACACACACACACACACACACGCACGTACACATGCGCATGCACACACACACACACACACACACACACACACACACACACACTCACAAAACCCCCACCTTGAAAAAAAAAAAAAAAAAAAAAAGACATTTACCGCAAAGAGACACAATATCACTACAAAGTTTGTGTGACTTGCTTCTGCGTGGGAGAGGTGGTGGGGCCCTTTACATATCTGTGCCCAGGGGCCCACTATTTAAAAATCCGCCCATGCAAGCAACAGGTTTTCTATATAATGTCGGCTAGTAGTGGTCTGAATTAGAAATAATGCAGAAAACTATGTCACGTGTCATTGTCACTTCTATCAGTCAGACAGGTAACTTTAGTTCAACAGCAGAAACATTTATATTTGAGTCCCTGCAGGTAAATCAAACTAAAAGGAGCACCCAGTGTGGGTGTGTACAAACAAAAACATCTGGTTTTAACCGGACTTTGTGAGTCAGCCTTCATATCTTGGTTGAGTTTAAGTATTAATAACTTCTTCTTGGGATAAGTGAATTTGTTTTGTGCCCCGTCTGTCATCCCGGGTGTCCAGGAATAGGTTAAACAGTGACAAACGGTGTAAAGTTAGTCGGGGTTAAGAAGGATAATAGATGCTATAATAGTAGAAGTTATGTAATTTTGCCTTCAAAATAAAACATAAATAAGTGGCGCGCAAAGCTACAAAAGGTTGATGCTCAGTAGTTTCAGACATTTACGGTAGAAGTTTTTGTATAGGATATACACAATTTGTGAAAACTCAGTGGCAAATGATATTCCAAATAAGTAAAAATACAGGTAAATCAATTTGACATCAAAGTTTCAGTATTTGTGGCAGCTTTACTTTGAAAGTGACTAGCGGAAGTTGTGTACGTGATGTTTCTCACTTGACGGTCGGTGGCGCCTCCGTCTCTTGCAGTCCAGCGCTCTTTTCTCAGTAACTCTACAGTGAATGTGTGTTGTACGTTACCACCTGCAGTTCGTTGTCTACAACAGGTGAGAACACTCCTCTCTTTCTAAACTTATTTATTCGGAAGTAAAAGCTCACTAAATTGACCTCAATTTGTACAAATAATCCGCGGTTTAGATGGGAAGACGTATGTTTTTGGACTTTGCGTGACCGGGAGTCGGAACACCTTGACAGTTGAGACTGACAAGTTAGCTAACGAGGAGAGGCTACACGTACGGGGGATTTATACGATGAGTAGCAGCGTACATATATTGATAATTGTGTCCAAAAGACAGCCTTACTGACGGGATTTTAAATCGATCCCTCTTCGGCTGGAGATACAGGCTGAATATCACTGTTGATTCCATAGTTATTCCCAATACTTCAGGGAAAACTATCAAAGTGCAGTCAAAAATCTTAGATTCCTGTTAACTTGCTTATAACAGTAGAACATGTATAATTAATTTATGATAACTTGTAAAGAACAGTTGGTATTTTCTAGTAAATTCGGCATGTACACAATCCCTCAAACAGGACCTTATTTTAAAAATATCAACTTTTAGCAGCTGTTTCACCCTCCTCGTTCCCACTACTCGGTGTGTTTTGGTTGAAGATTGGAAGAAGGACCAGTGGGAAACCTTGAGGTGTTAGTGAGACGTTACGATAGTTATGTGGATATGATGTATGCCGAATTTACAAGCAATAGTGATAATTTCTTGCAGGACTCAAAACTTGTCATAATTGATGTGTATTTATTTCTGGCAGATAAGGTGGGATTAAATTGTCAGAGTCGAGAATGGAGTTTGGGCTGAAATTGTTGCTGGGAAATTTGTGCTCCAAGATATACTATTGAGCTTTTTAACCAGAAATGAAGATTTAAAATTCAGGGTTTTTTTTTTTTTTAAATGAAAGCAGTGACAATAAATTGAGATTATTTCACTTGTTTTCTTATGATATAATTTCCACTTGATTATAGTAAATATTCTGAGACATAACATGAGACTGTGGGATTTATCATGGGCTTTCTCACATGTGTGACACCTGTCACGTAGGATTCCATGACAAAGTCACCCATTGTCACTGAACTCCATTTAACTACTGCTCTACCCATTGACATTTAGGCTAACAAGCCCATTTTGGACTCCTTGTTTACATTCTAGCTCATGTCAGAGAGGGGCTATGCAGAAGTTTACTGCCTGGCAAGGTGCCTGGCTAGTTTTAGATCATGTGTCAGTGCAAAGACACGCATTGGCATCTTCTGTTGGGCTACACAGTAGTAGTAGCAGTCCAGAGGAATAACTGAGCTATCTTGTGCTAAAGAGGCTTCAAATCAAGATAGTCTTCCCATGTTTTGGACTTGCAAAGTGTACCCTGGATACAACATATTCAAACCCAACCAAAGACAAAAGCCTGCTGCTAAAACACATTATTTACTCGAGGAGGTTTGTCATGTCTGTTGGGATGTCAGGGAGAATAAAAATGCTTCTGAGGTCTCCTAAATGAATTCAACTGATTTTTTTCAAAGCTCAAAACTTCTGGATGCTGTACTATCTCCTCTAAGATTGTCTCTTAGCTTGATTGGCAGTCCTAATTGTGGTTTTGTTTTGCACACAGAATGGACTATAAAGTATTAATTGGAGGCTGTGTGGCTCACTGAAACAGCCTGTTTGATGTTGCCTCAGGAGTAGAAACAGAGTGACTGTTTTTACACTTTATTCCATTTCTCCTGGTTATTTTGTGTCCCTTTAGTGTTTCTTCCTCTCTCGCTGTCCCACGTGATTAGGATCTCAGGCAAATTGGTTGTGTTTGGAAGCAGCGGCCAGCTCTGTCTCACCTTCCTTTTCAGAGAGGAAAACATTGAACTTTTTCCAAAGGCGTAATCTTGCAGTGTGCCAGGCGCAGCTTTGTCTGAAATGATGCTTCCTTAAAGTTCAGGGAATGTTATCAGTGGACGGAGACCTTATTCCTGTACGGGAAGAGTAACAGATTAGCTGCACACTCCTGAGGGACGGGGCTTCCTGGATCTGAGAAAACAAACAAAAGATGGGTCAAGTTAATGTCGCATGTCCAATCCTTTTTCTTGGCTTATCCTGACAGCATTCATCTATCAAAACTGTTTTGTTGATTGCAATTAAAACACAACATTAACCTTGGCATTCATGCTGTTGAATGGGGCAACTGGCACAAGTAGTGCTGCAACGAGTTCCTGATTGACAGAAAATTAATCAATTCATTGTTTGACATTTAATGAAAAATTACATTGCTGGTTCCCATTTCTTAAAGGTCCAGTGTGTAAAATTTAGAGGGATTTAGTGGCATTTAGTGTTGCGGAGAGGTCATTTCCTCTCAAAAACAAATGGACCGAGTAATTTAAACAGGTAAAAACACTAAATAAATTAATTTCACGATCCAAATTAGCATCTGTTGTTTGGCATGTTGCACACATTGCATTAGCCCATTACCTGCTAATGTGTGCTCACCTTTTTTTTCTCTGATAACTAAATGTGAGCTCACCTTATGTTGGATCCAGACATTCAGGAGGTTTTAACTGGACTGGAAGCCAAATTATCCACAGAGGTCTCTGCCTCTCCAAAACAAATTGACCAGTTTATCAAAACTGAAAATTTTTTTTTGATGGAATGTATTCTTAAATTTTTGCAGACTTACAATGATTTCTCTGTGTCTTTCTACCTTTCCCTTTGCAGAGTAATGGCAGGTTGGGCTGCTGCTGCCTCCAGGTCGACAGAGATGGACTATGAGCATGCGCTCAGCCCTGCAGGCAACTAAATCTCTACTAGTCCTGCTGCAACTCCATGAACAAGATCACTGTGAAATACAGCCGAGCACCCATCAGTGATTATGGACCCGAACTCCAACAACGAGAGGAAAAGGATCTCCTGGACCAGTTTACCTCCTTCACTGTAGATGCTGCTCACTCCTCTATTCACCAACATCATCTCATGGCTGGGATTCAGCAGCTACCTGTTAACTTGCAGACAAATGTTTTGCTGAAGCCATCTGCCTGAAGGAGCATTAAAAAGACAAAAAAAAAGCAACGTTGGCTGTTGACTGCAAGCAGCTTGTGTGTCTGTGGTTGGGTCTGTAATAATGGGGAAGGAACAGGATCTGCTGGTGGCAGTGAAGACTGGAGATCTTCTGCTGGCGCACAAACTTCTCTCCAAAGTCAAGTGCAACAAAACCAGTGAGTATGGCGCTAAGAGAAGTAGGGGGATACATGGGTTTGTGTCATTACTAAGTGATTTTGTGTTTGTTGTGTTCTCAGGGCCTGGGAGTGTAATTGTTTCTACTGTGAAATAGAACTTAGATAGCAATGCCAGAGTTACCGCCATGGGGGATGTCACTTCTCAACTAAATGCAGTTTTTTCCTGATAACCACAAGATCAGGTTCAGCTGTCGACCACAAAACACAACCCCCTCCAGCAGCCAGGTCAGGGACAATTTGAAACTAAGTGGATTCAAACTGCGGCACAACACGAGCTAATCTCCTCAACGCAGACCCCTGCAGCTCTTGAGTCTTGCTGTGTGGGTTTTAGGGGTCTTTCTTCTGCTTTCAGATGTCCTTATCTGGGTAGATTCCAAGTCAGGCGACAAGCGAGCTCTTTACAGTAACATTGTTGCAAATGACAGAGTTCTCCCTTATCCAAGCCTGGGGAAAGTTAAGGCCAAGTAGGCTGTGAAGTTGAAGCCTCTCTTTGTGGCGTTATCTGTTCTGGGCTTTCATCAGTGTGGCTGGCTGCTCTGTGACAAGCTTTGGGAACAAAGCTGTGGCTGTCAGGAAAAAGTCTGTTACACACTCTACACACTGCACAGACAGCAAGCGCTGCTTGGCAGAGAATATTTAAAAGTAATATTGTCTGTTTTTGTACTGCTGCGTGCTTCTGTTTGTGAACAAGCAATGGCTGCCAAACTGGCTGGGAAATACAGCCAGGGAAAGTGAAGCAGTAATGTGCTGTGCTGCTTTATAAACTACCGTCAAGGAGCCCTTGAGCAAGGTTCTCCATCTGTTTTGGAAGAGCAGCTCAGCAATAATACAAATACTCACATGTAAATAAAACAAAATTCAAAGATAAATGCTTGAATATAAACAAAATAAATATACAAATATTTTTATCAACAAATACAGAAATAAAAGTAAAACAAAGAAAGAAATAATAAACATTTGCTAGAAAAGACTTGATTTTCCTAAGATTATCAATTACCAGATTAATAACCTATATTTATTTACACATTTAATTCAGTTTCTGTATTTATTTATTGATGGTTAAGTTGTTTTTTTGTCTTCCATAGAAAGTATGTGTAACTGTGTGAAATGAGCAAAATCAAAGTTGGACCTTAACCAGGCAACCACACCAACAGAAGCCTAGAACGCCAGTACTCGCAACCTAATTTTAATTATATCGAGGTTTGTTATCTCGTGATAACAGGTAGATTATTTGATAAACAAACAAAAGGTTGTTTTTTTGTTATCTGAAGATGACAAAAGTCATTTTCTCAAGATAACGAAATAATACAATCTTGTTTTTTTGTGTGACAACGGGTTGATTGTATTGTTAGATGACAAAGCTTGTTACAAAATAATTAACTTGTTATCTTGAGATAACAAATCTTGTTTTCTCAAGACAATAAAATAATTAACTCGTTATCTTGAGATAATGGCATTAACAAAACAATAGTTCAAAGCATAGCCGCCTTCGGCTTCCATACACAACAGCTGACCAAATACTCATATAGTTAAGGTTTTGTACTCTATGGCTACTCTTTTTAGCACATATTGACACATTTGTGCTAGAAAGAGTCAATCTGTTGTGCAAATAGAAAGAAAATTTTTCCTGTGTATCTCTTAATCTCCCCTCCATTATATTGATTCCCACATGCATGCACAAACTGCTCTCAACACTGCTGATCCTCGCAGGACCCTCGCGGAACTTTGTCGATGGTGTAGTCATTTGTGACTTTAGTCGGAGCCTGCGGTGTCTGACAGCAGCACAGCAGATGCTGCAGCTGGCTGTGAGGGCTTTGCAGATGACCTCCACAGTCTCACATTTACAGAACGGCCCTGTCAATAAGGGCTGATTGATCAGTCAGTGGTGACCTGCTTTGGAGGGTTTTTAAAACTAGCTTTTAGCCATAAATAGGGTTGTGTATTTAATGTACTACCCGCTGATTGTTATTTAAGCTCCGACCCTTTGATTTGTTTTAATTAACTTAAAGTCACAATTAGATACAAATTATTTTATGCTGTTTATCCAGTAGCTGCTGAAATATGTCATTGTGAAACAAGGAGGTTGACTGACATTGCCATTCTCCAGTGATGCTAGTGTGGCTTAAACCCAACCGATACTTTCATTTGCACTTGGCATTCTCAAGGTAGGCTGGATTTAATTCAGTTTAGTCCTGCCATGGTGGGATTGAGGATGGTCATTTGGTCTGTTTGTTTGTCCATCTGCCCAACCAACATTTTGTTCCTGAGCAAGACATCTCAACAAGGCTAATGTCAAGATACTAGAACTGTTATCCCTTACTAGTTAGAGTTAGTTAAAGGTGCTGCAACCTTGTAGCAGGTGCCTGTGTATCTGTCTGTTTTCCATTTTATAGATGGTTGTATGTTCATCAAATCTACTTTGGATATCACGGTCCCCAGATGATGAATTGTGATACTTTTGGTGCTTCCATGACTTTCCTCTAACTCAACTATCAGGCCAAAATTTCCAATTGTATACAACAATATTTTAAAATAAAAAAATAAATTAAAACTGAACACATTCATGCTCCACAGAGGAGGAATCCCCTGAGCATTCCTCTCATACCACTCTCTGAACAAAATATCAACTCTTAAAAAAACGAGATATTTGATATTTTAATAGGCAGAATGCCACAAGGTTTACTGAAGGCAACATGAACGAAACATTTTAGGCCAAATGTTTGCAAAATGTTCAGTATGTTGTTTGTTCCAACGTACTTTTATTGTGAAGTAAAACAAACATCACTACTGGTCACTATTTCAGATTTGCATGTGAAAGAACAAAAAAACGACAATGCTCGTGATTATATTCAAAGTGTTTTGTGACCTTGTGAGCTTAAGTGGCATTCTGATAACAAACACAACTTATACACAAGTGCAAAGCCTCTGAAGAGGTCAGGTGCTCTTTAAGCTGTTATGGTGGTGTCAGGCTGACATGCTGGACATTCCCAAACCTCCAGGCTAAACCTAAGACTGGGGCTGGGTGCAGATGGAGGAGGGAGGCACCTGCGCGTGGACTGAACTCTATAGCTGGAGGGAGTGGCTGGGGGGGACTCAGGGGTCAGGGACTAAACGAGCATGTGGTGGACAGACAAAAACAAAGCACTGGTAGAGGGGGCGTCTGGTCAGCTTGTCTGGCGGGATATACGGGACTTAGCCGAAGGAGACTGACTGTGTGTGTGTTCATGTTGTGGGTTGTTTGGGAGTGTGACAGTGATGTAATACAACTCTGCCACACTGGGTGTAGGATTACATAACAGGACCTCACATATAGTGTAGTACACTGGGGCAAATGGATAAGTATTCACAGCTATGGAAATGGTCCAACATCCAATATTTTGTCTGGTTTGTAGCCGTGCTGGAGGCTGCTTCCTCTTCCTTCCTTTCGTTTATTTGTCCAGCATCTCAGATGGTTGATTAAAAGATTCATCACAGTGTGCTGTGGGAGAGGTAGAAGACTTTTTTAATTAACTGTGATGGAGTGGTCTCATCACTGACTGGGGATTGTACACACATGACACACATACTCACTTACACTCACTCACAGTCTCGGTCGGGTTACAGAGAAGGTAACATCCACTAATTTATACTTGAGTGTCACAGTAACAGAACTGTTGTTAATTTTCCCCACACTTATTGGTAAATATTTTTTGTATAAATCTGCACTTTGGGAAGCAAGTGCAATACATTTTCTCCATCACTATATCTACAACCATGCCCGTTTTCCGTTTAGGCGGTAGAACCCTGTGACATTAGCTTTTTAACAAAACTAATGCATCTGAGAGTTTCCCCGACCACTGCATTTCAAGCCTCCTGACACATCATCATTGTCTTTCCAGTGTTTTCAGTGTCCCTTTTAGTCTCTGTATGACTCCTTTCCAACATCTGTTCAAATATCATAGTTGTGCAGCATTACATTGTAAAGATATAGTGCTGAAACTAGTTTAGTTGATTAACTAATGTGTCAATCAACAGAAAAGGAGTAACCACTTATTTCAATTATTTATTTAAGCCATTTATCAAACAAAAAGACCAAAAGTTCTCTATTTCCAGGTTCTCCGATGAGGAGTTCGTCCGTTTTTTATTGTGGTAAATTAATTTGGATTGTGGATGGTTAGACAAATACGTAATCAGAAGATGTTTCCTTGTACTCTTGGAAATTTTCATACAAAGCCAATGCCTTTAAGCCATTCACAGTAAATTACCTTATCTTTACAATTCTACAAATGAAGTGGTTATTCAAATGGAATGCGCAAAAGGGGACCTTTTAATTCCTGAGTTTTGTAGGTTCCCAGCACCGACTGGTCAAAAACAGCTTATTTGTTTACAGCTAGGGTCACAGCCAATCACCCTTTCTAAACAAGATGTATACGTTTGTTGTGGACTCATGGATGCCTGTCAGTATGGCGAAGAATAAATAAAAAGTATCATAATTTAACCATTGTTTGTGTTATGGCAGCAGTAGCACTTGTGGTGCTGGGTGACCTGATGGTAAAGCTGGCTTGGAGGTGGCAGAGCAGACTTGCAGTGTCCCGAGGGGATTAGCAGTGGCACTGAGGCCGGCTGATGGACAGGGAGCTGAGATAGGAGGTTTCTTCTCTGATCAGCCATCTGCTGACATCAGGTTGGGTGCTCAGTCAATTTAAGTGGACTCACCACAGCCTCCCTCTTTTTGCTTAGCTGTTGCAAGCTGACAAATCAGGTGGGCTCATTGCAGAGAGATACAGTGGTTACACACAAGGCTGCAGTCTCTGTTCAGCTACTTGCATTGTGCTGCTTTAGAGTGAGAGCTTGACATGTAAAGTCATCTTGCTCAAAGTGTCGTCCTCTCACATATACTCTTGACTAGGAGTGGACTGAAGTGGATGTTGTTTGCCCCCCCCTGAATGGAGACCATTAGAGACTAGAGGTTCTTCAAAGGCCTTTATGATTACAATGTC